AAAACTCTATTCGAACGCTTCCGGAACACCAAACTTGAACAGAATTTGTTTGAAATCAAATTGATGCATGGAAATGAGAATTTTTTTTTTAATAATTGAAGTATCGTCATGATTATTGAAAAAGTATTTGAATTAACGCTTCGATTAATCAAGAATTTGGTGTAAAGTTGAATGAAAGATGGTGTTAATTTTAAATGATGACTTAAAATTTTAATAAATTATGAAAAGTTCATGTATAACACCGGATTTTGGTCAAATCTAGGGTAAATGCAAACTTATTGACACCTTTCAACATGAACAGAAGTGCATCAAATTGGCTTTTCTTAAGACAACAGCTGCTAAAATTACAATTAAGCGTCAAGTTTCCATCTACACGTCATAATGTATATTCACAAGACCAATTATCCGCTTTGTTGCAGTTTCATACCATCGAGTTGAAAAGAGATTGTTCAAAATTAAGCGATATAAACTCAAATCATGGGATCAATTTTTGCGCACCGTTTTCACCGTTGTTCAAAGAAAATTACCTTCGATATTCAAATTAGGAAAAGCAGAACGTTGTCTGCTTGAAAATAATATTTGAACAAATAATATGAGTTCAACATTTAACGTGTTTACATTATTACAAGTATTGAAAGTTATTTCCGAAATGCAATAAAAGGAGTTAACGTGTGTAGACGCTCAAATTATCGAGTAAATTCTGAGCAGTTGCATAAATTCAGAGTCATATCCATATATAACGGTTCCCAAAACCCACACGGAAAATTGTAGAACTTAAAATAACAATGAAAAACAACGTATGAAGTAAAATTAAGACATGCAATAACGGAATCGATCGAATGTATTTATGTGATTAAAGGTTGATTGTAAACAATTTCTTCGTTGAATTTGCCATAAATCTCGTGTCATAATACAGCGCATGAAAACCCGATGACAGACCTAGCGCACACATTTTCAATCATTAGATATGTTTCAAATGCGATGAAACACGGTCATAAAATAAAAAATTCATAACAACCAGAACAACAACCATCGAACGAATCACAAGCCAACACACACACACACACACACACACACAATTTTGGAGGGAAACGAATGGAATTGGTCGTCGCCGCCCGAAACGGAAAAATAAGAAGAAACGAAGAATAAATGTTCATGTAATCGCTGCGAGTATTCGATAACGAATGAAAAATGGATGGGAAACATAACAATAGAATTTGAAATTATTGCCGATTTTTGTCGTGTTCGAATGTCCTATAAACACAGTAAAAATTGCAAAAATTGAATGTCGTGCTCTCGCGTCGTGTGCGAATACAACAATTGGCGGGATTAGTGTTTGTGTAGCGAGACCGCGCTCGCTTGCTCGCTCGTTCTTTTTTTTCGCATTTATCGAATTCAAATAAAAGGAAACCTTTTCGACAAACTTTGCCGCAATGTACAATGCTACCAATTCATATCTCGGTGGTGCTTGCTACTCTCTCATTGTTGCACTTTTTCAGCGAGTAAGTCGTTTCTCTTCAACGAAACCATTTATTTATATTTGAGTTGGGTTTGCCGCGAGTTTTTTTCCCGCTTTTTTTCACTCGTCGAATTGCTGCTTTTTTAAATTCTGTTTTGCTTTCCAAATGAAAATCCATTGACTTGAAACTAGGTGAACGCAATAGTCCGTACGGATATTTATTTCTGTGTCGATAGTCGATATACACATAATGCAGAAGGAAAAATAGACGAATCGAACAGGAAATATTGGCAAACAAAGCCAAGTGGCGGCATTAGCAGCAAGTTTAGCTGTTAAATATTTTGAAAGGAACGATTGAAATCCCGACGAATTACGTAACGAAACAAAGAAAACCTATTTATGGCACGAAATTGGCAAATGATGACGATTGCAACGGAAATCATTTAAGCTTATTGCTGTTTTACAAGGCTGCAAATCGGATTTGCTCCAGAAAAAATTCGAAGGAATAAAAATGCGCTTCGCAAAGCATTCATAAAATGAACAAACTGCCTTGATGTGTTTCAAGTGGAATTCGCTTGCTCTTGCCATCTTGCCGCCACACACTTTTCATTCGTTCGCGCGCACATGCTAAAACACAATGCCTCTTCCTACGTATTGGTGTAACGGTTTTGTGATTTGTATCGCTTGAGAAGTGTGCGAAAAATTGCATCTGCTTAATTTTCTCGATAGTTTCCGTTTGCATTGTACTGTTGCCATTCACGCTTGAAAAGTCACCAACAACCCAATCAAAATGAAATTGCATCCTGCTGAATAGTGGCGGTGCCGCATACGACTGTAAATAGCAACTTATTAGGCGGCGTTTTCCCACTGTGTGTAACACAGCCAACAACAATAGAGAACGAAACATTGTAACTTTATAGTCTCGTTTCACCAGAAAAGGAAGAATACGGAGACGAAGAAAAACAAGGAATTTGACTTTTCGTTTACTTTATCTCTCTATCTCTCGTTTCGCCCGAAGAATTATTTGTGAGAATGAAAATGTGCAAATTGTTTTTTCTTCGCTTCAGATAAACTTTCATCGGAATGAAAAATGTGCGAAGAGTTTCATTGTTGCAATATACAAACATTTCGGAGGCCAATTATCGGGCGGATTCGTCTTCAGTTGAAAAATACGTAATAAACAATTACTCATCAACGTGACACTTTTGCATCACGATTTTCATCGGGCATTGAACCGTGCAAGTGTCTGAACGGCAACAGGGAACATTTCAAATTGTTTGGAAAGTATTTTCTTCTTTCTCCTCCCTTCGCATATGTCAGGCGATTGAACACGCGCTCATTAATTCAACTTAAGCGATGTGTTGACTTTTTTCCACGGTTTTCATGAACGAAAATTCTGAAAACCAAAAAATCTTTTTAATCACATGGAATTTTCATTGGCTGTCTCGTATTGCTCATTGGCTGTCATGTATTGCACGTGTAACGGATGCCCAAATGTGCGCCTGCCAACAAATAACTTTTCAACGAAAATGAAAATTAACGGAACTTCTGCAGATTAACTTTTTACATGTGGAATACGTTATTGGCGTCAAAAAGACGACAATATAATGAAGATTCTCGAGGTACATGGCAAAAGAGCGAGAGAGAGAGACAGGGAGAGAGCGTTTTATTTTCTTGTTCATTTGTCATAATTTTTCGCTCGTTAACAGAAAATGAGGGGGAAGTTCACGTCATTTTCATTCAGCATTAACGGTTGATGTGCGCCTTTTTTCGCATTAAATCCAATTTGCATCCAAGCCAATCACTCTCTGGCAGTGCCGAAAGTGCTTTGAACCTTTCAAAAATCGATCGGCAAAGTAATCGAGAGAGAGAGAGAGAGAGAGAGAGAGAAAAGCGTGAAATATTCTTGAATGCTGCTTGATGATGCGTTTCGATGCGGAAGCGAAAATTGAAATACTTTCGTTTTCAGCTCATTTCACTTTTCGAAAAAATAAAATTGCCAAATGTGAAAATGATTCGAACAATAGATTATTCTAAGTGGTGCGTGAGTGACGAAGAAGATTAACGAACGATTCAAACAAGATTTGACGATTTTTCTGAGCTGCTGTTGCTGCTTCAAACGTTGCCAATGCCAGAATTCGAATATTTTATGCCATCTGAAATGGCGTTCCCTTCAAACATTTTTGGAGAGTAACTTCGTTTTCGTTGACTTTATCCTTTTTCACTTTGTTCGACCAATTTCGTTTCCTTTTCTCTCTCATTTGTTATTCATTCCAGCCTATTAACGCCTACAAAAATGGCAATATCTACACATAAAAAATATGATGATAATTCAAAAATGGAAATGAGCAAGAGCAAGAAAAAGAAACGCTCAATCGGAAAAAATGACGACGATGAATTCACATTCGAATACAATGAACGATGGAAGGACAAAAGTATATGGGCGTTGGATATGGAACGTGAAAGAAATAAAAGCTGATAATACGATTTTTAATTTGCAACGAAAACAACAACAACATAAAATGCGCCCGAGAGGAAAACAAAGAATGTAGCGAAAGAAAAAAAAATGTGCTGAATGGGGGAACATGCCGCCGAAAATGGCATTTGGCTACATTGCCACTGGCATTGACTACAATATCGTTCATCTTTCGTCAAATCTTATTTGACGATGAATAATCAATTTTTTATTGTTGAAAGATAGAGAACAAGCGAATTTTTCAATGAGAAAAAAAATTGAGAGAGAGAGAGAGAAAGATGGAGCAAAAGACTGACAGCCAACACATCTCATCGATGCGAAGCAATTTAAAGTGCGTACAATGAACGTGCTCGTCAGAATGGAACAATTGGTCTCTTTTTTTACTTTCTCTCACTCTCTCTCTCTCTCTCTCTCTCTCTCTCTCTCTCTCTCTAGTGTGTCTCGATGAATCTTGAATAATAATTCGACATCCCTTTTCATTTAGCTATCGAAGGATATGCTCGGTGTCAATGCGTATTACGCGTATCGCATGCAATGTTCACATCATCGCCTAATTGACACCAAAGAATTGATTAATTGATTTCAAAATGGAAGAAAAAACACCAAACAAATCAATTGATTTATATTAATTTGATGACAGATGGGGCAAACGCACCATTTTGTTATGAGGTTGATTGATTAATAAGTTATGTGTCTTATGTCAGCTGCTCTCTGTTTTATGAATGACTTTTTAAGAGCATGCGTCTCATATTTCGCAGAGGACGGCCTATAATACGGAAACGTCAAAAGTGAGCATACAATACGCCACCGGTGGTGGGATTTGTCAAATGTATTATATACGATACATTGCGCCACTATCAAAGCGATACATATAATGACATGTATTCTATTTAATACATTTATAATTGCATTTATTTTATAATTGCGATTCTCACCACCAAGTACTTGGTGCATGCATCGTCACAATTGCGTACTCCTCCAAAGGCCGTCCTCTGATATTTCTATCAAGATGATTTATTCTATTAAGATGATTTTATAGGATTGTTTTTTCCCTTTTCTTTGCAGATACAACCGAGAACACTGTTCTTTGTTTGTGAAAGGATACGGAAACTTTGTAAGTGATTCACGTAAATTTTTTGGACGTAGCATTTATCATTTCAGCAGATTTTATCAAAGGAAAGCATCAAAGATAGGAATCATGATCCCAGCTATTCATATTGCCATAGTCATCGTGGGCTTCTTTGTTGAAGTGTTTCATTCATTCATTCCATAACAACTTCACATGAATAGACTATACTGTAGTCTAACTATAGCTATATTCGCTCTATATACAATGAAATGTGACACGAAATCAAAATTATGGCGTATCATTTGTTACCTTCTGCGAATTGCTGACTTTTCGGCTTATTGGAACGTCCCAAAAAGTAGCTTAGTGTCATTATATTTCCGCATTTTCCCGGGAAACCGGACCAAAGTACTACTTCCATTATACGTTTTCTATGAAAAATGTTTATTTTTGAATCACGGAATATATTGAAAAAGCATTATGTGATTATATATTCGTATTTCACTCAAATCCACCAAAATTGGTCGTGTTATTTTGAAGTAGCCCAATCGGGCTTTGTTATACGCTAAATCCATCACGCTGAATAAATTCATGCGATAAATGTGATGCGCTCGCTTTGCGGTGAACGAAGTCTGTTGCTCTTCAGTTGTTTACGCATGAACGTTCATGCTTTGCAGTGAACGCATCGCTAAGCGGTAGTGAAGAGCAACAGACCTCGTTCACCGCAAAGCGAGCGCATCACATTTATCGCATAAATCTATCGCATGAATTTATTCAGAGTTATGGATTAAGCGCATAACAAAGCCTGCACACAATTGCATTTCGTTTAATGAATATAGTTTCGTGGCAATTGGTGTATCTTCTTCCACGAGATTGAGTCTCGTAATGACCTAATTATCAATTATTTTCAGAAAATTAGAATCGGTGTGCATCAGACTCAATTCTATGAATTGTTTGAATTTTTGTTCAATATTAAATTTGAAGCATAATATGGAAGTTAATAATGTATTTTTCGAGTCCTGAGAATTAAAATTCAAACTCATCTCGACATAGTACAAAAATAATAATACGATTAATCCTCCCATAACTTCTTCAGTGTTCTATGGACTGTAGCACAATATGCTTGCAATTTACAACAATACATGTTTGTGATGTAGCCACAATAAATTTTGTGATAGCCTTAGCCACTTTAAACAAACTCATCGGGATCCAGTTGATGAAAATACGCGTGTATTTCAATAGCTTAGGCTTGTTGCTATTTTAAAACATTGGAAAAAGATTATTAATTTTATGAATAGCAGTTTCCTATTCAATTTCAACTAGATATTGTAAAAAGTTTGCTTCTCATAGTGTTTACAACTATGTTTCACACACTTTTGCTCATTTAATTTCAATTATGGGGATTTTATGCTTCCATGTGAAAAACAAAATAGTAGTTTTCCCAGAAATGCACGTATTATGAATACTGGAATGTGAAATTCATTAAACCCTGTGCAGGGTGCATTCGCCAAGGGGGAAATCACTAGAAAGTAATTGCAGTAATAGCAAAGTAATAGTTGAAATTCAAAAGCAATAGCAATTATTTTTTGTGTAACTATTACTTTGCTATTAACTTGCTATTATGTCCAAAAATCAACGATTACTTTGCTATTACTTTATTTTTGCTATTAGTTTGATATTACTTTTCAGATTTGCATGGAGAAAAGTAATAGCAAATAGCAAACTAATTGCAAGCAATAGTGGCCAATAGCAAAGTAATAGCTGAGTGATTCCCCCCTTGGCATTCGCAGTATTTGTTATGTAGAAAAAAATATCATCACTTTTCATTAAACTTTATTCATTTTAATTCGGATTACAATAGCTCATTCATAAAGGTGAAATCTTATTGACTGCACCAAATTACAAATCAAAACCATAAAATCACAACAAAATATGCATCGGAAGCTTCGAAATCGTTTCACTACCGTATGCAATGCTCTTCATTGTTTTCCTTCCTTTTTGTTGTATTTTAAACACAGTGGTGAGTGCACTGTTCAATGTGCATTTCCTATAACCACAGTATATTACAACCGTTTTATCATGAGTTTTTGAACTACCTAGGAGTGAATATCTTTTTGACTTTTAGCGCATAAAATACAGGATGGACTACAACACCATCATAGTGATAGCTGTAATTTTCTTGAGAATTCCCTACTGTTGAGTTGGCTTAATGATGATTTTACGAGTGTGAATGGCTTTCGAAAGTGCTAAGTTCTTGTTTTTTTCATTCTTCCCTTCCGTAGACAGATGGGGGGGTCATCATAGAGCAAATGGTTGAAATACCAAATGCTGTGTTTTTATTTGAATTTTATATAGTGTTTTAAACATTTTTAACACCTTATCTCGTAACATTTTGCCATAAATCTTTGCCCGACAACAAAATATAAAACCCATCAGCGGGTAAGAGGTTGATTGAAGGTTTGGCATATAAGCAATTTAATTAGAGATAATCTTCGTTTATAGTCTTTTTTCTCTTTTGCTCGCTCGCTCACTCACTCGCTAGTTTTTCTCATGCAAACATGGAAATTCCATTCAAATTTTACAGCACAGCACTGGCGCTTGTCTGATAAGAAGAATTTTACAGCGCGGAAATTCTTCGCTAATAAAAAGAAAAGTTGACGTGGCGACCAACAGACAGAGACTTAACAAAATGAATTTATCCGTTCAAGCACCGTGCCATCATTCATAACTATCAATATTGTGTTCCATCAACGTTTTTACGATGAAAATATTGCACGCGCGCACGCACACACTCCAAACTACACTAATTTTATTAATTATCATCAAAACACGCACCATCGACTAAGGAGATTTACATGGGTGTTCATGTTGCATCATCAATTTTCTACAGAAACCTTATTTTTCGCTGGCAGATTAGCGAACGCGATGAGACGAATAAACGAAGAGCGTCAATGTTTACATGTGTGTAAATCGCAAGAGGCTCTGATTTCCTTCTACGGATATCATACGATTAAAAGAAATAAGAGGATTCCCTTGGGAGTGGCAGCAAGACCAACTTCATGGAACGAAAAAATTATGCGCAAGCATGACACACACATACACACACGAAATCCGTCTGCATAAAATAACTTTTCCGACACAAGTGAAGAGACGTATTTTTGATTCCGAGGAGTTCTGAATTCAAAAATGGATGAACATGAAGCTACGTTTAATCCAAACGAGAGGAAATATTTGCGACATTATTAATTGAATTTGAAACTATAAACGAACTTATGTAGTTGGAAAATTATTTTAACTCCAGCTTCAATCAGACACAGACAAACAGAATTTTTGATTTGTTACATGGCTTAGTAGAATATTCTTCGCTTGAATATTTTGTTAGAAATCTAGACCAACGGTAAATTTTTCAATGGAAATTTATATCAGACTTTAATGATTGATAGAATGCAGGTAAAACAGTCAAAGCTAACAAAGAAGTTGACGACATTATAAAAATACTAACCGTTTTTTTTCCTAGAACAATTTGAGTATAGAGAGAATCATTCGCCAGCAAACATTTCAAATGCTTCAGGAAATATGTTTTCTACCTCCTCCTTCTCTCTCGCCGCTCTTTATTTCGCAATCTTACACTTTGTATTATTAAAGTTTTGCTTTGAAAATTGTTGAACGGCAAATTCGCTGTATCCCGAGAATCACCTGCTCCTCATAATTGACCCAATTTCATGGAACTATGTTTCATAAAAGCTACTCGTGCTATTCGAAAAATACGTAGCGACGTCAATTTTAAGTTTGCTCTTAATGAGTGGCATCCCCAGAGTATTTTTCATCATGATGAAACTAGTACATTTTTTATCATCAAATACCTTTAGACATGTGAACTACACTCAAATGATTTGTCGCAATATGAACAGTGAGCACCCGCATACACACACACACACACACACTTTCATACGTGTTACTTTGTTTGATGTGAAAATGGGTGGCTGCGTTCACATCCAGCATGAATGATATAACAAGCGCTCGTTAATTTTGTTAATTGAAACTAACGACGGTATACGCATCAACTGCCACAATAATAAAATCGTACTTCCCACGCAGAATGAAAAAAACACCTGGGTAATTTGTATAACTTTGAACACGTGGGAAGTTGCTGAAAAATACAACAATACACATTCCAAACAATTTCGTAGATGAAATACCGAATGGTATATGCTTCTATGATGGCAAACCGTAATGCAATTTATTTGAATAATTTCTCATTTTTAATTCACTTCAATGTCAGTGTGATTGAAAATTGCGGAGTTTGTAAGCCACAACATTGAACGAGTATTGCGTCCGTTTCAATTCGAATCAAGTAAATATTTTCCCTCGTTATAACGTTCTCATTTTAATCAAAAGCAGCAAAAACCAATAATCCTGACGTCAAGAACACAGCAGCAGCAGTAGCAGCTGTAGAGTGCTGAAGAAGGCGTCGATTCATGAAATTTCCGGCGAAAATATGATGTTGTAGTTCAGAAGTCAATAAAAATCGGGATTGCGGATGAAAACTTTGTTCCGTTGTGAAAAGTGTTTGCGGCGGAAGTTGTCTAAAGAAGTTGTTTTGTTAACATTTTCTTGTTGCCAAAAAACATGCCTTAACAAGTGTTCCAGTTTGCGATCCGATGAAAAAAAAATCGAAAGCAAAATGTGCGCCATAACATTTGCCGCTCTTTTTCTCAATTTCCAGGCTCCGAAAAATGGTTGAGGCCTTTTTATGAGGTCGATATTTTCAAACGAACATCTTATATAATTATCATTGTGTCTTTTGGTGCAATCATCTTTTTCACTGTTTTTAGCTACGATATTATCACGCAAAAAAGGTTTCCACACTGAAACGTTGCTACAACAAAATATGACACATTTGTGGGTGAAAGAAGATTGCCGGAGAAAATTTATGCTGCAGCGCTCCCCAGAGCTGTTGCATTATTTAAAACGTGAACCCACATACTTGCCGAACGCATAAAAGCATTTATCGCTGGCAAATCTCTAATGGACGATTAGAAAGATGA